GGGGTGGAAGATGCCTGGACGTGTAATGTTAATTCTTGCCTGTGACTCTTTGAATAAACCAGCACGGTTATATTTTTTATATACTCAAGTGGTCCGCCTCGTCTCACTGAGTTCCTGGTTTGAAAGAACCGGACGTGGCTTTATAATAGAATAAAGCCTTTAGTATCCACAAGCCCTGGTCCAGCTACAGTTGTTGGACATTTTGACTCACACCATCCACTTCAACACAAACTGGGAGTCATCAGAACTTTAAATCAGAGGGCAGAGGAAGTGCCCACAACTGCAGAAGGGGCCAAGAAGGAGAAATTACACATCCAGAACTCCCAAGTGTTTTCAGTTTACTATGACCTGGATGACTGAGAATCTGCACAGACATCTTTCTTTCCAACTGCCATCAGTCTCCTAAACAGCTGACTCAGGATGTACCTCATGTAATTCCATCTGTACTGTTTACATACTCATTTTGCACATGCATAATTGCACACTCACTGCTGAGTATTTACACGCCATGGCTCCCACGTAGCGTATATTCTCTCTCGTATATTGTGTTCTTATTGTATTTTTATTGTGCTTCTTTCACTTGCTGTTTTAAAGTGCCTTAGATTTGTGTTATTGCCTATTTAGATTTGTTATTGCTCATGTACTTTATATTTCCCTTGTATTGTGTGGCATTCGTGTGGACAGCAAAGTAAAACTTTCATTGTACAGGGAAACACGTTTCCTAACTCTGCATATGACAAATAAACACTTTGACCTTTAATTTCAGTGGTTTTGATGAATTTTTTAAAAGTGTGGTTTTATTATGAGGTCCCATTGATTTTGTTCCCATCGTTGCACAATTTCACATCCAAGCACCTCAACTAAAATGGACCCCCGTAGGGCCTGTTTTGTTTCATTATGTGCTATTTCAGCAGTTGGGTCCAGTGTATACAAGGAAAACCAATAAAGAGTTACAGTATGTGTAGAACTAACTTTGCTATATGTTCAGGCCTTTAAAGCTGATTTAAAAGACATGTTTGAAATTAGAAGTTTCACTTTATAGCAGTTTGATTGTCACATCACCAACATTTAGCCCATCATAGTTTCTACTCTGTTGTTTTAGCTTTATTTAAAGTGTGAGCGTTAGCTAAGCTATGGGAGTAAATCCCCACCAACATTTTGATGGTACCCAAACTATATTTTGATGGCTGCTTAGTTTGCAACTCAGCATTTGCTGAGGCACGGATATATAAGTGTAGAAACTTTTGGCGCCAACAGACTTTCGCACAACCCCCAGTGGAGAAATCTGAGAGCGCAGACTCAGAAATAAATGCAAGCATAGCCAAGATTCTGCTATCACGTTTGATTCTGTGCTAACAAATATGAGTCTGCACACTCTTAGATGAAACTGGGTAGTGCTCAAAATCTGCCTAGTGCAGGATTGTTAGTTGCAGGATTATTTTAGCCAGCATGTTATTCTGGATTAGTGTACCTGTGCAGCTGGCCCCGTCTCCTCTCCAAGTATATCCAGGTAAACAGGAGTCACAGCGCCTCCCTGTGGTTCCATCCTTACACTGACAGAGACCAGAGTCAGAGCAGTGAGGAGAAACACTTCCCTCCAGATCACAGTCACACTCTGACAGAGACAGGCGGGATTATTGTCATTTATAGAGTGCCGTGGTAGGGAGTCCTAGAACCCGACACTGAGTTAGCGTTATTGCACTTCTGGTTCCCTCCACCTGAGGTCTGTGGGTTTTGGTTAGATGCCTAAAATAAGGTCAGTAACATAAGGCCAGTAGATTTTCATGTTTAGTTTTATGAAATAAAATATGTCAGTAAATACCCTACCCATGATTTTTAATGCTTTTACATGTCTTACAAAGGTGGTCTCTACCGACTGACACAGCCATGATCACTAACTAGATGAAAGAACTTCGTAGGGGAGGGGAGCACTAGAAATCAAATTACAAGAAGCCGTGGTTGTGACACTGAAGTCACGGGATTGTGGTGCAGTTTGTTTATAGCCTAGCAATAGCTTTTTACATCTGGTGATTGTATTTGGGCTTCAAACATCATAAAAGCTGTGGTCACTGGTGAAGATTATCTTGCTGAACAAAATGTGTAAGTGTCATAAACTGCTGTTTGTCACAGAGCTTACTTTTTGTAATAATCTAAAAGTCTATGGAAAAAAATCCCCTTTTCTTCCTGTTGAGGGAACCAGGGTGGTGCTAACATCCGGTTTGGCCTAGAAAAATACGTCATCCCTACGGCACTCTGTTGTTATTAATACAGATATATTGATATGATCAGGCTACTGTTGTTTGTTATTTCGTTAAGGTCAGAGGTCGAACGGTGGACTGCCCAGAAACAGGTCAGAATGTTTCTTACTGGCTTAACTGGGCAGTGTGATGAGCAACTGTGAGCCTGTAATATGAAACTAACCTGATGTTAAATCAAGTCAAAATCCAGACAGGTGAGTGTTACCGACCGACACAGATGTTCTCGTCATCCAGTGACAGCGAGGCGTTTCTATAGTAACCAAGACGGCAGTACTGACAGCTCTGGCCTCGTGTGTTGTGTTTACAGCTCACACATGTGACTACGTTGATGAAGTCAATGTAGCTGCAGCGGTTGGAGTGTCCATTACACTCACAGTCTGACAGAGACACAGAAAACTGATCTGAGGTCAGTCCTTCAACACACAAACACACCTGTCACACAACACCTGAAGAACAAAAATGAATAAACTCTGAGATGAGGAAGTGGAGGCTCACATCATTTTCATTACAGTGATATAACATGATGCAGAGACGACATAACTGATGTAACAGCAGTGGCAAGATAACACAAGCTTTTGTATTGTAACATGGCACTGTGTTACAACTGTGTAACTGCAATGTAACGTATATTATAACTTGATAAGTAACTTTTTATAAAACTAAGAAATAAAAGATGACTTCATGTTTAATGCTGATATTCTTTTGGTTTTTCTGTATGCTCTGGCAGCACACGCATATTTATATTTCATGTCACTAAAGTCAAATTCAATTACTGTGCAACAACTATGTGATATACAAATGTCCTCATAGCAGCTGCCCACCCACAGCAGCACACAGCATGGAGGACAGTCAAACAGGGAGGCATGGACCCTCATGCAAATGAGAGTGGAGGAAAGGACAGGTCTTTTTAACCAATCACAATCTGGGTTGGGTATTAGGGTTAGGGTGCATAATGTGGAGTGCAGCAGTGTGCACATGTTGCTGTAAATGGTCAATAAAAATAATCTATAGTTCCCCTCAAATGTATTAAATAGTAGAAAGTACAGATATTTGTATTAAAATGTAGAAAGTAAAAGTAAAAAGTTGTCAGAAAAATAAATACTCAAGTAGAGTACAGACACCCAAAAAAGCTACTTACAGTGGGTACGGAAAGTATTCAGACCCCCTTAAATTTTTCACTCTTTGTTATATTGCAGCCATATGCTAAAATCATTTAAGTTCATTTTTTTCCTCATTAATGTACACACAGCACCCCATATTGACAAAAAAAC